GGAGTAATGTATTGGCAGTTGACCACTTTTATCAGGAATATCCGCATTCACACCTTTATCTAAAAGTAATTCCACAACATTTACATCTCCACTTTTACAGGCGTAATGTATCGGCATTTGTTTCCGAGAATCATATACATTAATTTCTGCCTCATTGTCAATAATAAATTGAAGTGTATCACTGTCATTCCTTTCACAAACGCTATGAATTACCGCCTGACCATTTCGATACAATCTGTTTATGTCCCAACCACAATCTTTAAAAGCTTTTAAAAGTTCATTGGATTTCAAAGCGCACATTTCGTATGAGTATTCAACAATGTTATTTAATAAGTTTTTATATTTTTGATTTGACATTTGAATTTTTATAAAAGAAATTGCCTGAAATTGAATTGTTAAATGTAAGAATGTTTTAGTAGATAGTAAAAACTTTACTTCCACGAAGGGAATTTCTTTAAAATATGTTAATACAATACTATGATTAAATTTTATTGAATAATAAAAAATTGACGGAATAGCTGTATCATCTAATTTAGGTAAGTTATCACAAAATGCTGTAGCAAAAGGAAATAAAAGAATAATTTTTTTCAGTTGTATATTCACACTACCGTCTTGAAAAAGCTTTGAAATGAATTCTTCATTTTTCATAATTTTACTTTGAGCAGTTTTTGTTACTGGCGAGTCTTCGTAAATTGTGTATGAACTGTAAGTTTTTTTAGTTTGTAATAACGGATACTTTTTATACCACTCACAAGACAGTTTTAAACTATTGCGCCCTATTTTGTCCTTGCGATTTATATCGTCTTCAGTACATTGATCTAAAACTTGACTATTCTTATACAACACCGCTATGTGGGCTTTGCAACCTTTTGCTAAAATTAAATCTAAGAAAAAGCGGATGTTATCGTACTTTTCATCAGTTAAAAAATTTTCTATGCGACAAATTTGATCGTAGTCTTCACTGAAATATAAAGCGGCAAAATATTCACCGTAAGAATTATGTAAAAATTGGGGTGTCAAATCTTCAGTTACTTTTGTTATGAAGCCAATGGAATCTTTTTCTTTTTTAATTTTTGTTAATAATTTCTGGGCTTCAGAAATATTTTCTTCAAATTTGCTTCCAAAATAATGTTGTACAGCTACTATTTTATATTTATTATTTTTTTTTGAAAGTTTTTTTTCAAGTTTTTCATAATTTGCTCCAACATTATCTTGAAATTGTTCTTTCTCTTTAAAGTGTTTACGAATTATTTTTTCGACAAAATGTTCATATAAATCAGCAAGAGAAAATATTTGATTTAATAAAGCAAAGTACTTTTTTTCGTCTTCACGAAATAATTCTGTCAACATGTACAATTGGAGGGGAATCCCCAAAATGTTGTTATTTGGAAAAAGTTGAATGCTGGACTGAATCCTTAAATAAATACGTTTTAAGACATCATCAGTGCAACCTAGACGATCCTTTATATAACTCTGTTGTTCTTCTTCATTCAGTTGTTTAATTGATCTGGAAAATACGCTGAATTTATTTTCTAAACGTTCTCTCAAATAAATTCTGGAAGTGATCCATTGCTTGATTCCTTTTTGAAAAAGATTTTTTATCAAAATTTCAATTCTTCCTAAAACTTCTTCGGAGACTTCATCAACGCCGTCCCACAGTATTTCTACCATGTTCTTGTTTATCATATTTTCCAAAACTGCTTTGTCAAAATCTGCATAGCTTTGACAATTTTCTCTTACAAAATACTCTAAAAATTTGTCTGCATTCGCTTCTTTATTTTTTTCTCTAAAATGGTAAACGTGGTTTCTTGCTAATACCAAAATTGTCCAACACCAAGAACTTTGGGATTTCAAACTCTGCATTAAAATGCTTTTTCCCATTCCTGGATTTTCACAAAAGACATTTATAAGATTGCAGTCCGAATAGCTAAACAAATTGGATTCCTTCACAAAATGATTACTTTCCCGTTGATATTCCCTTAATTTTTCAACGCCATTCTTGCTTCGAATCCATTCTAAGCCTTCCTTGTCAAGATATTTGAAGTGGTGGCAATTTCTAAATTGAGTCGACATTTTGTTAAATTTCTCATGAGAAAATTCGGCTTCACTTGTAATTATGATCCTTTTATGTTTGTATTTAGTTTTTAAATCACTTTGCCTGGAGATATCTTCAATTGTTAAAAAAACATTATTCTCGCAACATTGTTTAATAAAGTTTATATCTTGTACACAACTTATAACAACTACCTCGTTGTTATCAAATTTATTTAGAAATTTTAAATCGATGACAACTTGGGACAAACTTCTTGGAATATGATGCATAGGTAACAAACATTTTTCTTTGCTCCCGATTAACTTGAAATCTTCGCTCATGTCTAAAAGTATATCTGTCGTAAAATATTCAGTCTTTACGCATCCATTACTAACTAAGCTTCTCAATTTTGCTGTTTGTTGTCCTTCGATGGAATATTCATAGTTGTCTAAGATGTCATCATAAACTTGCTTATTGTCTTCCAAATCCCTCAAATTTTGAAAACAAAGCTTTTTATTATCTTTTAAACGCTTCATACTGTTTACATCAAATTTCGGATTCAAGATAACAATGTTGCCGTCGTCGATTAAATCAAGTGCGGAGAGAGTTTTTTCGTCACCTTCGACAATCAGAGGGCACTTCTTGATATGCCACAATAATACGCTATTTACCACATTTTCTTTTTTCAAGTCTTTTACATCACCTATGTAGTCTGATGTTACTTGGTACTTTATTCGCATGTTATTAATTTCTTCAAGATCTGTAGTAGTAGACTGTAGGATAACAGATTGCCAAATTGTTTTTATTTTGTTATAGTTTTCCGTATTAAATATTGTGATTGGAAAGTTGTCAATTGCACTTCGTAATATTTCAATTCTTTGTTGGGTTTTGGGTATTTCATCAAACGACAGCGGTTTTGTAAAAGGATTTAAAACTCGGATTGCAATAGAATGTTTAATCCATGACTTGTCCAACTTTTCTTTATTTTTTTTTTTTCAATCATGCTCCAGTCTGTTATGAATTTTAAAAAGTCATTGAAAATATTCTCTTCGCAGGAGAACATTTCTCGAAACATCTTTGAAGATGCGGTCTTCATACTTCCCAACTTCATTTGATTTGAATAGAAGTAAAACGATTCGAAAAATTCATTAAATGTAGTGTTTGAAGTTTCAAATGTGTAGCAGTGTCCGTTGTCTGAAGTTGGAAGTAGTTCCATATGTGTTTTACAATCCTTTCCTTTGATCTCACAAGTTTCGTCTTCAAGTTTTAATTCGAAATTAGGTAACTTCTCTCTGAATCGACTGTTTGTGAATAAAATCATCTTAACATGCTTTCCGTAATTGTTTTTTAAATCCTTATAATATTTGTTGATACTAAAATTTCCGTTCTCTTCTTTCAAGTTTTTTTCTGAAAGCATGCGATTTTCTTTATGTTTTAGCTGGATTGCATATGTTTCTAGTTGCTCTACACCAAAATATTTAACTTCAATAACAGCATCGTCAAACGAGCCAAAAATTTCATTGTCCGCCGATATCCAAAAGTTCTCAATTGTATCATCTTTGAGTAATTTTAAAATAACGCTTGCTAGGAATACGACTTCGTAATCTTTGCCTTTGTCTGTTGTACCTTTTCTTTTATTAAATGTCTGAAAACCGAAACGATTTTCGATAAACACTTAGTAGGTATGATACAGTTTAATTAAATTTTTAATATTCTCAACAATCAAATAAATGTCATGTTACTCAGAAGCAATTTAGATAGCAAAATAACGAATGTGATAAAAAATTGAATAATGTTCGACTTACCGATGAGAAAGCCATTTTCACACCAAAAGATGATTTTTTTAAAAATCTGAAAAAAAGAACCATAATTAAAATTTAGGTACCTATTAATACGAGCGTTTCTGTTTTTAAACCTATTTTTTTCGTAAAAAATGCCTGTATAACAAAACAAGATACGCAAGGGAAAATTGATATCAAAGTATTTGACTCGATAAAAGAAGAAGAAACCATTTGGCAGATAATCATTTAAGACATAATTTTCTGACAAATAAATTCCCCAATCTTTACACTCCACTGACCCGGCGGTTTAAACCTGCAGTCAGGCAAGATTCACCATTACGGACATTGCTATCAAGTATCAAGTAATGATGTTGATGAATTGTTTGACATAAGATTAATGTAAAGACAACCGTCTAAGGGGTCTATTTTGTAATTTTATACCGATACCGTTTACAGACGATCGCCGTTATTATACCGATAAATCGTTAAATTCCGAAAATTCTATTTTGTAATTTCCGACAATCGTTCATGAACGATTTTCTCAACTTATAATATCCCGAGTGCATTGATTATTTCCGGAATTTTTTTGGGTGATTGTCAAAAACGTCATTAATTAGCCCGAGTATAACACGAGGGCTAATTATTAAAAAAATAATATACGTTTTTGTCAATCACGAGAAAAAATTCCCGGATTTAATCAATTAACGAGTGGTATTCGCGTGAAAATCACGAGTTCAAGTAAGCAAAGTTTATTTCTTTTTGAAATGCTGGTGGGGGTAGTGTATAAGAGTGTCCGCGACCAAGGATTCGAGACGTTAGTATATTGGAAACAAGATTATATATTCTTTTAATTTTTCCCATTTATCGTAAAACTGTGTCAAATAACACAATCCCATGCGCTAATAGTTTTGTCTTTGTTGTTACTATGCGAATGAATGAGACAAAATGCAAACGGTCAAGCGTAGCGGAAAATAGGAGGGACCACCAGTCGTTCTCCAAAGTATGAGACGCCACTAAGCTAAAATTTGTTATTATTTTAATAAATTAATAAGTCTTGTATGTTTTCAAGCAAAACAAAATGTTAACAGTCTGTTTATTTTATTAAACATCCATTCATTAATTGTCAATTTCTCTTGCTGGATTTTTTAACCTATTAAGAATCACTGTTATGTTTTGGTTAAGTGAAGTAGATAGGCGTGCTAAAATTTGCTGTCTCTTTTAAACGACCTAAGTGCGAGAAAGACAACATACCACTGGTATGGAACGGCATAACGTTTATCTTACTTGTTCCTACCTACTTACTTGAAGAGCGAGAGAGACAACTAAGTTTTATGACATTCGGGTAAAATTAAATGAATTCTACCATACTCTCTTTTTTTTTTAAAAGTGTTTAGTTTTTGAGATATTGTGATTTATGTAAAAGTCACGATATTTTAACGGTAAAGATTCGTTTTAGGGTTTTGGTATTTATTACAAAATATTAACTCTTAACAAATTCAACAAACACCATGTAATAAAACACTGTTGTTTTTAAATTATTAATAAATATATTTTGCCTAAAAATGCCTAATAGTTCATTGCTTTTACCACTAGAGGCGTTGCCAGTGTCATCGAAGGTCTCTACCTGCCCTTGTACAACCAGTGTGTACAATCCAAGCAAAGGACGCATTATGGTCATCTTTATCGTGTAATTAGCATAATAGTTTTCAGTTATTATTATTAGAAAACTAGAAGCGTGACGTGAAATGAGAAAACAAGCTAATTTTGTTGGAATTGTACTTCTATCGAATCTCCCGTGTTTATTAGACCTGACCATTTTTTTTTTCGAAAAAATGTGTGCCTTGTAGGGATCTAAGATTATTTATTATCTATGACAGTTTTAATAAATAGCAACAACAATCGGACAAAATAATTTATTATACAACAAATTTACACCTATTATTAATTACACAATGTGATGACCTAAGGCCATACCCTGCCCGCCAAAAGTGAATACCTGAGCGCCAAATTCAAATGAAAACAAAATGGCCGAAAAATCGTGATCGTCATCGAAGTGGTTAGGAACCTACGTTGTGTTTGTCAAAAATTGGCGGGCAAATTGTTCGAATGCGCATGCGTGAGATTCAAAATGGAAAGGGCACGAATAAAACTCAAATTGGAAGGAAAGCATTTATTGTTTATTTCCTGCAGTCATGTAAAACAATCGAGAAAATCAAAATGAAGTGTGAATGAGAAGAA